CTCCGGGTTGTCACCGACACTTTCCCTTCCATCGTGAGTGCACCGATTAAATGCAAATTGTGCCCTCTGCTGTTGGCAACTTTGCAACAGGCCCTCACTCCTCTGGGCGCCCGACCACGAGTACGTTTGCAGTAAACGTTGAAGTTCGCTTCGTCAATCCAAATGAAGAACTTGCCATCGCTCTCAAGTTGGAGAAACTGCTGAACGAATTCCCTGCGTATCCCTTTGCTTCGCTCATTGTTCATTCCCTCGGGAACCTGATAGATGTTCTTCATAGTTATCAATCGACCATCTAGGTGCCGTGCGATTGTTGACTTCGAAATGTCCTTGTCCATTTCTGCTCGTACTCGCATTTCCCGTAGCGTAAGAGTTGAGTCCCTTGCGATCCAATCCAGGATGTCATCTACGTCTTCCTCCGACAAAATCCGTTTACGACCGCGCGCCTGCGTAGTACTCGGTTCCTGATCAAGAGAACGACGAATCCAGGAGTAGGCCGTTTGATATTTGACGTTGTTCACAGTTGTCACAAGCTGCCAGTCATCACCGTTGACGAAAGCGCCCAAAACTCGGTCACGAATATCTGATGAGATACTCTGTCGAACGTGAGAAGGCATGCCGACGACGTTAGAATCATAGACATGGTTTCGGTCGTGCGCTTATGTTGCAGCTGTTCATTGCTCTCAGACCAATTGTGCTCCATCGTTTCGGACGTGAGGGGGGCGCATACAAGCCCATTGCACTGTCGAAGCGCATTCCTCCAAGGTTCATTCACAAGTCTCACCCAGTCAACGAGCAGCGCGCTCACCTCCCCAGACTAACGCACCGAACCTTGGCATCCGGCCAATGAGAACACACTTAAGGTCAGAGGATTGGCTCTGAGCGGCTGGCGAATTGCACAGAGTTTTGCAACATTGTGGACTTTCTTTGCAAAGTTTTGGACCATCTTTTCAAAATTGTGGACTTTGTTTGCAAAATTTTTATCTTTTATGCAACTTTGCGGAAATTGCTATAGTTTGCATTCGACTCCATACTTCGACCATGCGAACGACTGCCTGACAATAGCCACGGAAGCCGATAGAAACGTCATCTGGTTTCAGTGATTAATGACCGGTCACTGATGGCTAATCCAAAGGGCGTAAGTAGTTAGCTACATGTTTTGATACCGATGATTATGTTATTAAACTTGTTTAGCGACCGATTGATGACCTAATCTTTGTACTAATTTTCACCTCCGCACAATGCCATTTTACCCCTTTGGGGGTAACTGCCCCCAGATTGGGAACCGGTACTTTCGACGAAACAGATTGGACATCTGTTAAGTACAAATAAGATGAAACGACTTTTCGTTTTGTTATTCTGCTTCTTCAGTATGTTAGCTTGAATTTTTCGACGAACTAAAACTAGGTACGCGACTTATCTTTTGACTGCAATGAAAATTTTTTATTAAAATGCAAGAGCTAACTGATGTGTCTTGTCGGAAAACAAATCTCTTTGGTTCACCTTCCGTTGTTCAAACAACTGATAAGTCTAACAATTGGTGTTTGCTTTCTATCTCCGGTTTCATCGTGAAATGTGTGTTATATGGTTCACAGAGGCGTAGCATGGTGGGGTCGGGAGCGGTTGTCCACCACGGAAGGCTTGACAGGGGGCGCTATTTTCAATAGCGTTGGTTGTTTGATACCAAGTATGAAGGGCAATGTGTCCGGATACGCTGACGGTGTAACATTTTAATGTCATTATGTATGACCAACAAAACCTTCGCGCCATGTGTTTCACCTGTGCAAACGTTCTTCCCAGCAATCCCCTTACATGTCCCATTGTGGTTACTTGCACCGTATTTATCTGTGTCCCAAACGCTCATCCATCTCAGCGAAAACCATAGTGCACACTTTAAACTGAGTCGATTGTGTGACCTTCTCTAGCGAAATCCTTACCACCGCGCCCGGGCGGCAAAGGTAGCTGCTAAGGCACTGATGGTTCCTTGTTGAACAACCTGTGCACGGTTCGCTTGTGGGTATGCGAATAGGATATGGGTTCACTTAATCCATGAGTTCAAGTTGACATTTGCGAACGGATTCGTTATTTTTTCATGCCGCTCTCCGTAATTAGTTCGGTCAAAGATGATCCAACCAGGACTAGTTTCATTACGTCATAGATCGATGTACTTCGTGCGAGGAAGTTGTAGGGGCATAAATTGGGAACTTTACCTAAGCCCTTTGCCGTTCTTTCCCGAACTCAGCTGCTGAGCGTTCTTTGATTGCTTCCTTTGCCAAGAGTAATTTGACGGTAGTCAACAGTGTGACGATGGTGAAAATAATAGTTTGTTTTGTAGTATCTTTTTACTAGGCCACCAAGTTTCTTGGGAATTACTGTACTTTGTTTACCGACAGTGCCACATGATCTCACTAGTTAGATAGTTACAGCGTCTCCGTAATTTCCCATACGTCATGGACGTGGATGTGCCCCGAAGTTCCAAGATGGGCGGTGCTCCCGTATGAAAGCACACAAGCCCTTGAATTGTAAATAACTTTGAGTAACAGCCCAAAAAGTGGCTCAGAAAATATGACCGATATCTCCTTTTTAGCTTATCCCGTCTTTCTGCCCGCCTCACTTGTATGATGGTTATTTGCGATTTTATTCCTTGGACTAACAGCATTATATAGTTCAGCAATATTCCTTCAGCATCAACTGATCCCAAACAGCAGTCATTAGGACACCCTGACTGATTTATGCCGTATTGGAAGCTACTTGGGCGGGTACTCAACAGTAAATTCAAAACATAAGGGCGAATAACCCAGTTTATTCCGCCCTGGGTGATTCACCTGAGGAATATCAAGAGATAAAAGACAATCCGAATCACAATAACTTTTTACAAGAAACTATCACATAACATTCAACGATATTTTAAATAGCATCGGTCCTGATGCCCATTGATTACTTCTTAGTGACCAGGACAACCGAGCTACATACAATATACTCAAAAAATCCATAGTTATGCCACATTGTGATATTATGTGCCACACTAACTTCAAAAGTGCGAGGTTCTTTTCGCACTGTGCAAGCTAAAACTTAACTAAATCATTAACAGCATACAGATTACTGAGTCCGCGTTTGAAACATCAGCACCCTCGAGTTATCTGTACAACAATGAAGGTGAAGTCGAATAGACGGAGTTTTAGTTCAGTGGTTACCGCCCGAATCGGTGATGTTGGTTTTTGCGTGTGAGTTGCGCACATCAGTAGGCCTAGAACAAGAGCCATTGCACTGCCCTCATGGAGTAACAAGGAGTCAGCGCATGTCTGCTGATACTCCAAAACTGCGCAGATGAACAAAATACGACTTTCATATTGCTTGTTGTGGGTAAAAGATGATCAATAATTAAATAAATAAATAGGTAAACTTGTCAGAGATGCGCGAGAACAGGGGAAGTATTTAGAGGTGGAGGGGAAGAGCAAGTGATTCATCTAAAGCAGGAACAGAAGCCGAGGAGCGTATGACCTGCTTTATGCCGTAGCATCATGTATGGTGGCGAATTATTGGATGCACTATATCTCAGTCACTGCATTCGGCCGCCGTCGCTCAAGACCAAGTGTTTTCAGTTACTGTCTCGTAAGCGCCTAAGTGAATATGAACATTCATGCGGAATACCATTTAGTAGATGAACGCTAATATGATGACAAGGCCCACCACAGCTTTCTCGATGTTTCCTGATTGCCTTACGGAGCCTGTATGCGCCGATCTTCATCAAATCACAGGACTTTTCTGTGTGAAACCAACAATATTTCACAGATAAGGCACTTGAAGACACAACTATTCAGAGTTTGGTCAAGAATTGGCCAATGCATCTTAGTTTCCCACGTTTCATTACCAAAACCACCAAGAAGATCCATAATTAGCTTTAAAAATAGCAAGTCATAAAGTAGACAGCATTCGTTTTCTACGATTGCAACCAGTAAGTTTACATGAACCAGGCTTGCATGAGCATCTAGGCGGTTAAGATAGCCGAGCGACCAAGAAAAACTTGTAAGCAACAGATTCGCTTGCCACACTAACTAGGAGCACTTACATCAAGCGTGAGGTTTTCTATTTGGTAAAACTATTATTATCTCATGCATTACCTATCGATTTTGAGGATTATCTAAGTTTGCTTTTCACTGCAATATGTTTCACTAAAAGCTAAATCGGAGAGTAAAAACTATAATAAATGTTTAAGGTAGCGTTTAAGCTCAATCAAACAGGAGAAGTAACTCGCTGCTGGGCTGATTTCAAAGATGGGTGGTTTGTCCCAAGTTTCTTCGCCATAGAAGTGAATTGCAACGTCAAGGTATTCGGTGTGGGGTTATAGTGACGACTTTCCTTCGGTCTGACTGCTGTACCTAAAAACTTGAACAGGTGTAAGACACCGGTGAGTTATTATGCTGGATAGATTAACATTTGGATGGTTCCTGTTATCAGGATATTTTCCTCCAGGAAGTCACCAGAATCATGTCACTCTCAACTACCCGCAAAATAACCATGGCAAAGAGTAACCCGGCTTATTTCGACTAATGTTCTCACCGTCTGTGTTTGCACCACTAGCTGTTATTTACGTTTGGCGAGCGATCATATTGATAGGCATAATCATTTCAAAGCTCTCAGCAAAACACAACATTAATGGCATGAGTTAGTGAGAAACTTCAACTGTGGACCGCAAACGATTTTTACCAGTTTAACTATGAAACTTCCCACACTCCAGACCTGAGGTAAAATTCAACCCCAACCTCACTGGATTACCGGCCTAAAGTATTGAAAACGTAATCGATACAGCAAAAGAAGACCTTTAGCGGAATCGGAGTGCCACATTGTGATTTAACTTTTTTGACAGGCATTAATTATACTTCTACTACAGTTGCTTTCCCATCGGCTTCTGCCGAATATGCGGCTAGAGTTACTTTGAAGCATGGGCACTAACTTATAATGAAAATAGTTGAGCAAACCGGTGTAAGATCCTAGAAACTCACCATGTTACGCAGCATAGTCGCATACAAACCGTCCATTGCGAGTAGTTCGTCGTGAGTGCCGGACTCCCGTATAATGCCCTTGTCCATCACTAGAATGAGGTCAGCGTTTCGCACTGTAGTCAACCGGTGTGCAATCACAATGGTAGTTCGTCCGGCAGAAGCCTGGTCCAACGCAGCCTGGACCACGCGCTCAGACCGAGTATCCAAAGCCGAGGTAGCCTCGTCCAGGAGCAAAAGTTTTGGTTGGCGTATAAGCGCTCGGGCAATAGCGATCCGTTGCTTCTGGCCTCCAGACATGCCGATCCCTCGCTCACCCAGAACGGTGTTGTAAGCCTAATCGATGAAGTAGACCGAACCCAGGTGGGAATAACAGGACTTCGTGAAGTGATTAAGCTAATTGTATTGAATTTGGCAGCCATAACTTGAAAGCCATTTTACGATTAAGAGTCCAAAAATGTAGCAAAGAACGAAAAGCGGCAACTACGTGTGTTTCGTATTACTTTGGTGGTTCAATTAATGGCACTCGGAGAAATAAACCGACAAGTTATAAAACGGAATTGTGATTCATACATCCAGGACAGCCAATGAATGCGAACAATTCATTTAAACTTGTGGCATCAGAGTAATAAGGCTTATCGCACCAAGCTTGCAGAAATAAAGATTAGGGATTATCGGGCTACAGCGCAAAATTGTGCGCCCAAATGATCTCTTTCTATAACATGTAGTTCCTAGGTATCTACCCGACGTCGAAGCCGTTAGTCTGAGTGGAATCGTAACCACACTAATTTTAAATGTTTAAAGAAGTTTGACACATAGTCCTTGCTTCGGGAGGCCACTATTAAGTAGGCAGCGTCAATACAAGTGACTTCACAATCGTGCGAATCAGAGCTGGGTTATTGAGCCTCCTTCACCAAGGCTCCTGCAATCCGCCGGTCCGGTTGGAGATGACGAATTTATGATATGGACAAATTTTTGCATAATTTTGAGTAGACACCTAAATACCATCTGTACCGCGTTATTACGTTTATTTAACAGCTCCATAAGGATATTCTCTGTAATCTTCGTGGACCTTCCCATGTAACTCTTATTCTTGAACAGTATCCGAGTCTGACTACTAGTCATTGGCATGACGCAGTTCACCGCAGGTTATCAACTAGTCAGTCTACCGAGCAATTCAACCGGTGCGTCTACTTAAGACCATTTTAAGTGCTTATTTTCGCCTCACTTGGCCAGGTTGGTGCAGTAATTATACTGACCAGATCAACTTCTTTTGTGTGTGGATCATAACGAAACTGTCTTCTTTGCGACCAAGTGAATTGTCTGAAAACTCCATTCGACATAGTATGTAAGCGTCTTGAAGTGATTGCTGTTGCTAGTCCTTTCGACAAAAAGAAACGGTAACGAATACAACTTGTAGGACAGTATCTCATGCGGACAGTCAACCAACCTGAGGCAGTGCTAAAATGAAATCATGTGCGTTGGCTAATTTGGCAGCGTCTTCGATTTCGGATTGAGTTGCATCCAACTTGCCCATACGAATGTTATCGGCCACGGTTCCTTCAAATAGCACTGGCTCTTGCTGTACACATCCAAGCTGCTGTCGATACGCTTTCAAATTTAGCTCACGAATTTCTTTTCCTTCTATATAGATCTGAAGTGGTACATTTGGATGTAGAGAGTGCAATGCTATGAAAAGCGGTTATAGCGGAGTCAGTAAAATATGCGGTAAATTGTACCTCTAAACGGGACTCATCGAAGTAATCAAAAGTGATTGTGAAACAGTAAGGTAAACCTTTAAAACACCACTCATTTTCCAACCAAGTGATGCAATATTATCCATTATGAAGCGTATCTCCGTATACTTCGAGTATTGTGTTTATAATAAAAGGTACCAGGCTCAGCCGTATGCTAACCACAAGTATGAGATAGCAAAGATCTAATTTTGCTTATAACATCTATTAAAAATGAGAACACACGTAATTGCTTTACACAGGTGATGCTTCAATCGGTGTTTCAATGATGAGTTGTCTTTGGTAGGAAAGATCCTATGAGTTAGATATTGTGTTCCACCGATATCGTCTCTATAATGCCTGCTACCAGAATTGTCGAACATCTCCATTTGCATGGCGACATCCTCGTCTGTGCCTTTGGCCTTCTGTTCTGGCGCATAGTACAAGCTGTGTACATAACTGATTAATTAACCGCTTTTTTGATAGTTTCAGTAGACTCTGAGAATAGAAATCCAATGTGGTGATACGGTTGCGGCCATTAAGCAGAGTTTGAGTAGTTTGTTAAGGCACCATGAAATATCAGCCTATTTGATACCCTCGTTCTCTCTTCTGGGGAAGTTGCATCACCCGTAACTAGCTTAAGGTTCTTTATAAGCTCGCCTACATAATCAAACCTACGTTCATTTTAGTTCAACCCAACGGTTTGGTAACCAGAAATGGTCCCAGGAAGGATATGATTAGCATGTTTACGTTGTTACGATGACATAACATCAGGTGCATATTACTTTATGTAAAGTACGCAGCATTTAAGTAAACCAGTTGGTATCTGTTATCGAGTTGTCGAATTGGTAGCAAAAAGATATGTTAGATGGACATTATGGTACACACGGCAAGGGGACATGAAGGGCATGAGAACCGCTACTTTTGTGTCAGCAGCTGTCGATGATTGCGAATAACCTGTGTTTACTCACATCCATCCTGGAGGGTTCAATGTAATTCCAGAACAATCTTCATTGTTATACTTAAAACGACAAACTAGACTTCGTTCATAACAGCATAACAGCACTTACGTATTCGGCAAAGCTTCCAAACAGGCCTCAACTCTGTTTCGATTTTTTTGAACTCACATCTGAACCATGACTATGAAAGTAACCTCCCTTCAGACAGCACTTACAGGAGTGGGTTACCCGTTTTACTGAAGATGAAGACCATCGGTTCGGTTTTATAGCATTGTAACCAAAGGAAGAAAAGCTCATCAAATTCCACCCATATACGGTAAGGGTTGTTTACATTTTTGTAGGCAAGGCAAGTAAAATATTGCATGTAAATGGCCCATCAGACATAATATAATACATTACTACCATTCATCTTGTTCCACAGCTAGTAATGACAATTCACACGTTCAATTCACAGCATGGCACTGAGCCAACAAGGACCATGAACTCACGTGACCATCCGAGGGATCGTAAAATCGTTGTAACAAGTGAACAATAGTACTTTTTCCAGAACCGCTTGCCCCGACTAAAGCCACGGTTTGACCCTCTCTCAGGGTTAGATTAAATTGGTTCAAAATCTGCAAACAATGATTGTAATAGATAGTGAAAAATATTTCCTTTTGGGTCAGGTTACAGATGACCTTATTAATATCATTTATTCTGTTATTTTATTGGATATGTATTCGTCATTACTACCATTCAACACATTAATTGGAGATACTTCAGCTATTATGACGCAATACAATAAAAGTAGGTCAGGGTAAAAAAGAGGAAAACAGTAACGACATAAGCATAAAGAAAGAAAATGACATTATGCGTTGTCCTATAGTATGCATAATAAGCACATGCCAATAGGGAGGCTAAGCTGGGTGAGGAGGGACAAAGAAAGTCACATCACATTAGTAATGGAGGTCGGATGTTTGCCGAATCAGCAAGGGTATCCAGCCAAACATTTTATCGTCCTTTTGACCCCAGCCAAGAAGCCTGGAGGCATAAAACTAGCGCACTTTGAAGTGAGGGTATCCGTTCTTTATGAACAACTCTCATAGGTTTACCTTCGCTCCTCTTCTCCCATTCACATACCCCGGTAGCGCAAACAACTCACCACACTGGAGCAGGTGTACTCGCATGCACAGTACGTAACCCAGCAATCGGAGCTTGGAGCGTCACATAACGATGATGAATGGTTCGCTGCCTCTTCATGCACTGAAACTAAGCGAACAAGCTTATTTCTTCCGCAGTGTTTTCACCATATTTGAGCTAAACCAGGAAGGTCCCAGAAGTCGAATACCAATACCATACCAATAGTCCCTCGGTGTCAACCGATCTCATGGGTCAGTATTCGAAAACATACCATAAGTTTGAACATGCAGCAGCATTGTAGACTCTAAGCTCAAAGGATGAGGAAGATATCGTACAGGCTTCAAAAGTGGCAAAGGTTAATTGAAGTGCCTCGGGCTTTTGTCGCACAGTGTTGAGGCAACTTTGTTTTGCTATTATATGCGCTTTCGATCCTTGAGTTCATAAACTCAATTTTGGCATACTTTTGCCTTGCCAAACCCAACAGAGGCGAAAGCATACAACTAGAGTGCTGAAGCTGCTTCTCTACCATTAGATCTTCACTAGCATGTGCCTTGACATTTCTGTTCGTTTCGTCGAGAGATAGTGAAGTCAAGCCGCTCTGTATGAACTTTGCGTTTAACCGTAATTCCCCTAGTGCTGGAAGCGAATTTCCAGTCAGTACGGGAATACGGTGGAATCTGATAGTCAGTTACTAAATCCTGTACCATTCGTCTCCAACTGGAAACTTTTACATGAGGGAATTATAATAACAGTCGTGTGGCATTGCATCAAAGTTATTGTAACTAAACCTTAGAGATACCGCTTATTCAATTCTGAAAAACTGCTAAATACATAGCTGCCCTGATGGTCAGTAGTTACACAACGAAATCTTTATTTTAGCGTCGCATATGCATAGGGAGCCATCTATCCTATTAACAAACTTAAACTGCAACGATGATAGCAGAAGCCTATTCGAGGTGCAACGTAAGTGGCCCACTGACCGATAGGCAAAATAATTCGCTGGATGGGCTCGAATGTCCTGGACTTCAGGTACGACACCTGCCGGGCTGTGAACTCATATTACTCTCAAAGTTCCATTACGGTAAGTGGTAGCGACTACGAAGTGGTTATTTACAATCTGGGCTCAAACTGTCCTAACATTAGTTTCGGCACTATTTGCAGTGACAAACTCTTGGAGATTGTCCTGGAGAGTAAGAATCCGAGTGTCTATGAATGCTTAATGTTTCAACTGCATTCGAAAAGACATTGGTGCTACGCATTAAAACGAGCAATGTGACCAAACTACTCAACGAAACCATGTAGACTTCTCATTTGTCTAGTATGTCTAATGCCTCATAATTGCCTGGTTCGCCTCCTAGATACAACGTTTGCACATACAATTTCGACTTTGCACCATAAGCCTCGTAATTGCTAGACTGGATAAAAACCCACTTAGCCTGATAAGACTTTCCTTCTCTTCTTATCTCTCAAATGATTGTTTCCGCACTTAACATCAGCTGCTAGAACTACACCACGGCTACGAAATAAGTTCCTGGGTATATGGTACACAGATTAGCCGTAGAAGACTTGGCAAGAAAAGATAGAACTGTAATCCGTTCTGAAGTTAGTTCTGTAACAGCAACTCACAGAACCTTAATATCAGCAATCCAGCACAGTTCACAAGTCTTAAGCGTTGCTATACTCTGACACGCGGATGACTGTGATACAGCTGAAGAAAGCCATCGGGATCTCATCGAGATCAATCCGCATCATCCTGCTGAGAACCTAGACCTCAGAAAGGTTTGCGCACGCTGTTTGCCCCATCAGGTCAGTGAGGACCAGGAAGAAGCTCCGGTGAACTGGTGACGCACCGGGTTTGCCAGGTTTGATGGTGGACGTCCAAATACTGTTCGAGAGCTCGTTAGGGGTGATGAGAGCTGGGTTTACTATTTCGACCAGCAGACAAAGTAACAATGGGCTAAGTGGACGACCGTTAGTGGGACCGCGCCTCAAAATTTCGGTTTGAGCACATTGTGGCCAAGTAGACGGTGGCCGTGTTCGTGACCAACGCTGGTTATGTGCTTACTGTACCGCTCGTACGGTAACGCACAGTCACCGGAGCCTGGTATACCAATCATTGTTTGCCACAAGTGCTAGAAGATGCAGCAACGCGCCGTCCAAGAACCCAAGCACAAGGGAACTTGCTGCACCATGACAACGCACCTGCACACAAGTCCCATGTCCTCCTAGAATTTCTGGCTAGAGAATGAATCCAGGAGGTTGGTCACCCACGCTACAGTTCAGACCTGGCTCCGGGGGACATTTTGTGTTCCAAAATGTCAAGCGCATGATGCGTGGAATCCAGTACAAGCCTCTGGAAGCTGCGGTAGATGCTTCTATTGAGCTGCTTAAAGGGTTACCTGCTTCTACATGGTCTAGCTGCTTCTACAAATGGTTTGAGCGCATGCAAATGTGCATGAACGCTAGTGGAGAGTACTTCAAGAGATTATAATGCTTATGTTGTTGTAAGAAACATCTTTTGCATCCGGAAACTCATTGCTCTTAGCTCATATTTGTCTAAGGAAGATTTCGCTTTTAATATGTGAAGAATAAGTCTGCCTTGCATGGGTCCAAACTAGCTGTTGTGCTTAGTTTAATTATGCGAAACAAAGCACGTTATCACCAACTCCGCACTGAAGTGGCCTGTGCAATATAGCGTTGAAACCCGGATGCAGTGAACAACCAGAGCGAAGGAAGGTCGAATAGAAGGACCTAACGGGACTGACAAAATACGGTGGGCCACTGGAGCTACTAAAGGGGAAGGTACATCCTCACATAGACTACATCAGTATACAATTTGCGCTATCAATGAACACTTACAGTTACATCTGATCTTGTTGGATAGACAAAATTAACGTTCTTGAACTCGATATTACCCCTAAAGTTCGGTAGAAGGGCTCCAGGACTGTCCTTATCGATACGGGGCACCTTGGAAGTGGAAAAAGTAGAGTTACTGAAAATTTCATCTTTAAATCTCAGAAAACTCCAAAAATAAGCCAGGTAAAATTAGGCTAAAAACTTAAAAAGTGTTTGAATAGAGGCACGTTACAAACGTTTAAACCTCCTGGCCGGGTTTTCAAATTGGTCGTTTATTTTCTTATTGATACTGCGGATTTATCCATTTCATAAAATACTTTTGCTACTTTGTTTAGCTGGACCATTGCTTGATCACGATGTCCTATTTCGTCAACAACTGGAAATCTCTCCAGGATTTTGCTCTGCGTCCGCGTATAGCTCAAAATGCTTCCAGTAAGAAAAATCTTCAAACGTGTCATAAGGAAGCATTTTGGTAACTTGGAAAGACACCGTACTGGCTGGTAAGTATGCCTTACACGTCGTTCAGTTGACATGATATGAACTACCAAAATTACACTCCGTCATGTTGAAGTCAACCGTACACTCATGAATCTGAACACAATCTGAGCACTTGGTTGACGGTCCCAGTGACCGTATTGGCAGAGGCTGACTTCAAAGTCAACCGAGGCCACGATTGAGATGGCGTGTCGCAATCTAAGACACAGGGCGGGTGCTCCAAAACCCGGAAATCAACTTCTAACTGCTGTGTCAAACCCTGCTCGCGGAGCTCAATGGCCTAATGAACATGGTGATAGCCGCCAAGCACCATGCGCCGTTCCACTCCCAGCTCGTCGATCTCTACCTGATGAGTCTAAACAAAGGCGAAACCATCGGTCGTGGAGTGCAGGGATGGGAGGGAGCCACACAGAAACCCTCCACTTCGGTGACGGTCACAGTGACCGTAATGGCAGATGATGACTTCAAAGTCAACCGAGGCCACGATTGAGATTGCGTGTCGCAATCCAAGACACAGGGCGGGTGCTCCGAAACCCGAAAAACATCTAAGTCTAGTTGGCTCGATGCTCTTTTATCAGTTGCCTGGTATGTGCGTTCCGGGACCCTCACCATGCCCTTGATACATCTTTTTACTCGGTGCCAACACGGTGGTATTATTCCTGACATTTGGAGATCTGTCAAGATAACGCCCATGCCAAAGAAGAGGTCCATGAGATTCCGTCCGGTCGCCTGTACGTCCCTTCTGCTGAAAGTCTTCGAGCGTCTATTTGTGCAATGGATATCAACAAGCACTCCGGCAGTGGACGTATATCAGTTTGCGTCCAGATGCTGACGTTCTACGTTGGAAGCTGCAGCCTACCTTATTCATTCAATCATTTGCTGGCAAATGCAAGACTGTGCGGCTCTTGTTCTTTGATTACACTAACGCTTTTGCAAGTGTCTACAGGTCAATCCTGCCTAATCCGCTGTTTGCGAATGGTGTTCAACCAGCAGTGTGCAACCCAAGGAGCAACTACTTCATAAATCGCTCTCATTTCACCAAGCTAAACGGTAGAATTTCCCACACTCTATGATCAGTGGGGCCTTACAAAGAGCAATCCTTTCGCCTCTTACATTCTATCTATACACCGAACTGCCTACAATTCCCCTAAATTTATTGAGTGTACTTACACTGATGATGTAGTCCTAGACAGCTGCTGAATCGACATCTATCCAAAACGGTTTGGGTGATCATCAACAGTGATCTTTCTCCCTATCCATTATTCCCAACGCTTCAAAAATCCGCAAGTAAACTTGCTCTTTTCTCCGCACTGACAAACGTCTAACTAACAAACACTTCTCGCTCCATGATGCTAGGCAACCGCAAATACCCATTTCAGCCATTGTTAAATACTTTGGTATGTATTTATCTCATACTCTATCTTGGTCAACACATGTTGACGAAGCTTTCCGCAAACAACGAACATCATCCCTTTTTGCTCTGAGACTCAAAATGTTTTCAGTAACCTACACTTTAACTTACAATTTCATGTCTGACTGTATTCGTCCTCATTCGCCAGATTGCTCACCTATCATGTTCCTAGTCTTCTAAATAAAGATTTCACATTAGTTGTGAGCTTTTGTAAACATATTTCCAGGTGTAATGGATTACCCAGAGAATCTCTGTTTGACTTTATTGCTACCAAACATGACTTTGTTCACCTACTCCACGCTGATTTATAAAAAGAACGTTCCTGCTCGTCTACTCGTTCTTAACTTAGGTTTTTTTCTCATACGTGTTATCACAACTATGCCTTACCTTATTTATCTCGTTTTCTTGTGTATTCCAGGAAACTTATCAACACCACACGTGAACATATACTTGAGTGATGTGCATGCACACTTTTATCCTTTTTACGCACTGATTGCAAGTTTATGCCAACTTTATGCGTAACTACATCTGAGTTACTGTTTTAAAATGCTGAAAATATCCCCAGTCGGTTTCTGTTATCATAATTTGAGTTGACTCCATTTGGGTTGCGACTCTTTGGAATGGGCTGTGTGATCAGTATGTGTACAGCTACACAAGTTTCACTTCCTGCTTGAAAGTAGGTGGTTAGAGCGCTTAAGCTGGTTTGAACTCTTCCATTTCACTAATTGAATTGTGAGATACTACATTACGGAACAGATAGACAAATAAGTTCAACACTATCAAGCAATACTGAAATTATGCGGCCAACTATGGATGAGTAACCAACGTTTGATTAGCGAAATTAGTTGTGGTTGTTGGAAGTTTTATGTGACACTTTGGTGGCTGCTTGAATTTGACATTTTTCCATGAAACCACCCACCACATCCACGGAGAGTGCGGGAAGGAGAGTTAATTCGGCGGGCCAATCATAATGTATGAATCCTGGGTCAGCAGGCAGATTCTTTCGAAACGAAATATACCTTCAGCTTACTTTTACTGGACTCTGCAGATGCATGTGTTTCAAGTGAATTAGGAAACCTTCCAACATCCAGACGAGACAGATGGTGAAAATCACCCCCAACAAGCCTACACTTACGTACCCTCACCAAGTATACATTATGGTACTTGGATGTATTAATGGATTTCCTGGAAACCACAGTTTCACAATACAACATAAACGCAGTACCACCAACTTGCTGTTTGCATGCGACAGTTGGGAAGAAGTAGTTGGTGCTGGAGTAGGATCTGATGTCGTTCAGCAAAACATTGTGAAGTTTTTAGTCACATATATCACGGTATTCTGTAAATTAGCTCCAGAATTATGATTTGAGCCACCGAAGTTTCACTGTACTTACTCCTTACGAATGGAATTCGTAGGGTGACTGTCTCAAACAGCTGAAGTTAAATGCTATGTGTTATAAGTTCTAGTGTTAGGATCTAGAATATTCATGGTTTTCATAAACAACTTGATAAGAACTTCAGTCGTAGATTTCCTACATTTCGTGGATACAACTAACGGTCAATGATCAAGCAGGGGCAGTGGAAACTTCCAAATTTTCCACTGCAATCATGATAGAGTCTCAAGAGGACTATTCAGTAAAGTCTGTCATTGTACATGGACAAGTACCTATTTGTTTAGGTGCTCCATTGTCGGCCGTTGGCCGAGTGGTCTGCACGCCTGGTTTATAATCCTAAGGTCACCAGTTCGAATCCGCGTAGTAGCGGGCGTCCTCGCGGTATACTCAGTCGGTGCACAGCTAGTGACGGTCGCGCGACAGCGAACGCCCTTACGGTATACAGCTGAGATGTTTATTAAATGCGTCATCAACAGGCTTATAGTTATAAGCTTAGGGTACACAGTCTGCAAACCGTATCTCAGGAGCGAGATCTCTGTGCAAATAATGATTTTAACTGTTTGATGCAGTCCGAATTAGCTTTCAAAGGATGTAATCAACATGTCAGTCTGTTGCGAATGGCCATTGATTTTAAGCTAATCTAGATCCTCGGTGACGCACAGTGTTTATAGGTTCAGCCTTGGATGGAGCCTTGCCTCTTGACACTAGATAACCGGAGGAGAAATTACATGTTAAAGATCTGTGCAAGCACTCGTAATAATAAAACTTAAAGGCACTCGGAACTTACAGTAGACGATGCCGAGGTTTACGCTGCACGCTCAGATACGTGTGTCAAATATTCTTTGGGTTCAACCACGAATGCCGCTACTTGTTAAAGCGGGACCATAACAACAGTCACAGTGAGATATATATAAAACTGTGTGAGTAGAACCGTCTAGAGTGGCAAAAGAATTACTTCTCGTTTCATATCTACAAATAGTGCTGTTATTTCTGCACCTAATTTGCTTATCCTGAGGAAACGATTTTAAACTTGCACTTAGTTCCTTGTATTTTGTTAGATAACTGCCTTAGTACATCGGTCGATGATCCATCATGGCAGAAACAGTGCATCACATTGACACATGAAAAGCATTGCAATGCGTTCTAAATTTTCTCTCAGTAGATGTTGATTCCTTTGACACCGCACATTGCATTGTAAGCAAACACGCAATCTACAGCATTCCGCTCCCTCAACCTAATATTGTGTTATTTGAGTGAGTAGCAATTTAAACCTGTACAACTTCATCAAGTGTGATCAAAAACTTTAAATTAAACTTTGACCTGTTGAAACCGCGATCATCTTTCGGTCGCCCACATGATATCGTTAAAAGCGTGTAACTCACGGTGAATTTGAGACGCACAAATGTGAGATGTCACTGGGTAATCATTCGCAGTATCTAACAATGGAGAAATGCATATCCAACGATGCTTTGAACTGTTGCACTGAGTTTGCTTCCGCTACACGCTCCGGAAAACTGTTCTAAACACTTATCACTCGCCATTCAGAACACAGAGGATGGCGAACTCTGTTCAGATCTAGAATCACAAGCTTATACTGGGGTCCGCGTGTGCTGCAATGTATCCGCAAGTGGAACAAGGGCTTCACCGTGGAGAACTCAGAATTAGAATACGGTAGATCCTGATGAGCTCAGTTCGTAATTGAAGACAAGCCGGAGTGTATAGTCTTAATATCTCGCACATATCTTCGTTCGGTAAGCCTCGTAATCTGGGGATGTGCCCAGTAACGAGTTATTAGATCCGTTTGATCATCCGAAACTCACTTCTACTACTCGGGCAATAGGCGGGCAAGCCGTACTCTAGCATTGGTCTTATGATGGAGGAGAATAGACGAGTGACAGCCACTTCAAACCAAATACAGAAGCTTCATTTGAGTGCCCACAGCATATGCAATCGGTTTATATGTAGCACGTTTGTGTTGTCCACGGACTTCAACTCACAAAATAAGAGTAGGCCTAGGTCCTTCAGGAAAGATATGGGATGTAGCAGCTGGCCGTAAATAGTGTAGGTTCGGTGGTTACAATTCTAACTCATGATCATGAATGCTGACTTGGATGGGTTGACGGGGTGACAGACTTCTGCAGACCACATGGAAAGACGCCTGAAGTCTTGCTGAAGTAGGCCGCAGTTGTCGGAAGTGCTTCTCACTCTCCACATTTTTAGGTCTTTAGCAACTAGGACCTACGACGGCCGAAGAAGTTAAAGCATGTTGCTAACATAAATCAGGAACAATGTGGACCTCAGTACCGCACGGCATCGAAGGCGGGACCATTGCAATGTTTGCCGAAGCCTCTACCCCTTCGGGCACCGAGTCGCTAAACAACATCAGGATGGTGGCCGGGCCGTAGAGCTGGAAATTCACTACTCACTGAGCCTAGTACCGTTCCGTTTACAGTAAACCCCGTCGCTGCTGGCGACCAAATTCCGCATGCATGTGGTGGGTAATTGATGGGTAGGCACTGGGGTGAAGTACGCGTAGCAAACAATTCCGCAGGCATAGCCAAAAGGAGATAACGAGTATGCCGGCTCATACGGATAATAATTTAATTTATGGGTACATCCTACAAAGCTGCGCTTTTATACTTATCATGGCACCGTTTCCATATTTCATTTAAACAAGCTTTCAGTGATGAGGGGCATATATTTTTATCTTAAACTTTCATCCTGACCATCCCGCAGGAGTTAGTAATAAATTGGTTGTTTACCTAAAATAATCAAATGTTCGTTGCAATTAGTAATTTCACAAGTGCAAAGGAAGATGGCATTAAAATAGCTTGTTCACAAAATGCAGGTAAGTATAAGCAAACATCGCATTTACCACTTCAAGGCAATGAAACAAGTAAGACAACATCTGCTGTTTTTGACTAGCGCACCAGCAGATTTTGGTGCAATCAACTTTTGCTAAATAGGCAGAGTGAACTTACCAACTGAATTGTGTCGAATATGTCTGTTGCCGAGGCAGCTGCTGTTAGAAGGCACTGTAGACCTGGGAGGGCGTTTCCAAGAAAGATGCTACCAACGATTACGTTGATGAAAACCTGAGAGACCAAAAAACACATTTCATGAGTAATTTACACGCATTCAAAAGCCCACACTTGCGTTAGGAATATACCTTGCTTTAAGTCTTATCCATTATTTCGATCAATAGCGCAAAATTAAATACCGATATATAAGTGTAAACTAGGTCTATATTGGGAGAAAGATTAACTATGCGAACTATCGGCATGCTATAGGTGGTCATATATTAATGTTTTGCTCTGGCTGACTGGGCCGTTCTACAATAAGTTCTCAACTACTCGAAATTTTTATGAGCAATCCAGAAAGAGCAGTTGCCTCTAAACTCCTACTCCTCACACATTATATTAGGTTATGGCTAGAAATTAAGGGATCGGTTGACCACAAAGGGCTCCAGTGCGATATTGACGCCATTCTGTAGGGGTCGCAACGAGACTGGACCTTAACGTGGTGCGACGGTTTGCGTACCTCATTGACCCATTGTGCTATACTGGGTGATGCCTCCGGACTTTTGAGAGTTAGTCATACCAGCTTGGTCAATAATGAGAGGTCATAAAACTAAGTCTCCTGGTACTCCAAGTTGGGGGTTTGAAATGGGATGGCGTTCATTTCTATAAAACTAAATCATTGCCAAATCCTCGCTGCTTTGCCGACAGGCTTTTGAACCAAAGGCTTTGGATGATGACCCTAATCGTCCTCCTGTCTAGGTCTGGGCGCCATGGCAATATCTCAGCTCACATACAACAATGACATTTTCTTCAAACATAAACTTCATCCTGCATCGGCCGTCTCGCAGCTTATCAAGGTTCGCCTTATTTGCTGCATCCAACAGGGCAGATAAGCGAAAACATGCTAATGCTGGAGCCTCCCTTCTTTCTTTTTCACCTCTTAATCTTACACCCATCCCGAACCCCATTACTAACCTTCCTTCTACAAATCCCAGCTTAATTGAAAGCAAACGAAGTGCCACTGGAGTAGAACCATCTGTAGCCAACTTCTCGCGACACCCACCGGACGCAGATCAGCAACAGTCGTTTATAAGGCCACCCTGTCCAGTTCAATGTTCGTACTCTAAGACAAATAGGTCAACAGACTGCGCTCACACACATCTTGGACACAGTGGGTATTGATGTGTGTTGTGTGTTCGAAACTAGGATCAATGAACGTAATGGGTTTGTTGAATTAACTGCACCCGGCTTATCTTCTCGTTATTGTTTGCACGCATCTGGAGACGCCGATGCGGCACTCACGGGTCAAGCTGGTGTAGGCATCATTCTCAGCTCCAAGGTTGAGCCATCATTGGTTGACTGCATCACGGTGAACAGCCGCTTAAGTGCAGCGCTTTTGACAACATCAGCTAGGGTTGATTCACGAAGTAGTACAAAATGCCGTTTGTTTGTTATTTCCGCTCATGCTCCCACCGACTGCAGTTCTAATGCTGTCAAGTACACATTCTATCACGAACTGAACGCGTTATCACGCAGTGCTACTAGTTCAGATATTATGGTTCGTGTAGGGGAAATGAACGCACAAGTGCCACATGCCGTCCTCCTGTAGCTGAAAAGCGATAGACCCAAACTGATCACAATGCCGTGAGTTACAGGTTGCGTGGTTGTATCCCGCATAATCGTTCGTAGTGGAATACCTGTGTCGACTCTGATCATGCACTGGTGCGCTGTCGTTTCTCCATAAACTTTACCGGAAGGCGCACAAAGCGTCTCTCCCGATTAGCAACGGAGAAATTGTCCCAGCACTCGGACAGGCAAGCTTATCAAGAAGCATTGCATACCGAAATTTCGCTCTCTTTTTTTAATGACACTGAACTTTAGTAGAATAGGATCTCGGCCGCCATACACGACGCAGGAGCATCTGCTTGTGGCACTATCAATCGTCACCGCACCAGTCACTGGATATCCGAGAGGTCCGTGAACCTGTTGAAATCTCGAAGACACCTCCCGGCTGGTTCTGAACACAGTGTGACCAGACGGGCTATTAGACATGAACTAAAGCGGAGCCTACGTGCTGACAAGGAAGCCTGGTGGACCAGTCGTGCTCAAGAAATGGAGGAGGTAGGAGCAGTAGGCAATTACCGGAAGCTCTTCCAGCTAATCCGCACCACCGGTCCCAGAAAACCAGGCGTCAGTGAGACAATCAGAGACAGCGCGGGTGCGCTGATACACAATAAGGAGCGCCGTATGGCACGTTGGGCTGAACACTTTGAAGATCAGTTCAGCTGGCCCCGTGCTCCCGGACCTCTTCCTACTCAGGTGACGCAGGACGAGCAATGGACGGTTAGTTTAGAGCCTCCGTCAGAGGCCGAGGTCCGAAACGTGATCACAGCCCTTAATCGTTTTCGTGCTGCTGGCCCGGATTCCCTCCAACATGCACTATTTAAGGATGGAGGTGAGGTCCTCTGCAGGGCATTGACCTCCCTATTCGAACGTATCTGGAAGGAAGAGAGTGTCCCGGTTAATTGGAGTGAATCGATTATAGTGGCAATATACAAAAAAGGCAGTCGCACAGACTGTTCTAACCACAGGGGTATTAGCCTACCGCCAGTTGTGACAAAATTACTGGCCTCGATTATCGTTCGTCGCCTCACTGCAGAACGGGAAGCTCGGATTAGGGAAGAGCAGGCCGGTTTTCGCCCAGGACATGGCTGTATAGACCATATATTCACTTTGCAGCAGGTGCTAGAGCAGCGCCACGCATACCGCAGACCGACGATAACTGTGTTCCTCGATTTCAAGAGTGCGTTCGATTCGGTCGATCGAACGATTCTGTTCGAATTACTTGCGCGAAAAGGTGTTCCCACGAAGTATGTGGACATCCTTCGTGCTCTATACTCGAACACTACAGGCCGCGTCAGGGTCTATGGTGTCCTATCGGATAGCTTCACGACTACAAGTGGCGTTCGTCAGGGTTGTCCGATTTCCCCGTTTTGTTCCTCGTTTTTGTTCAATTTCGTTGTGGATTCTATCATGGAGGGTTCCCTGACGCAATCCAACGATGTAGGCGTTGAAGTGCTGCCTGGTGAAAGATTAGTTGACCTAGATTATGCGGACGAAATCGTCTTGCTTTTCGACGACGTTGCGACGGCACAATCAACCCTGAATATCCTGTCCAGAGTGGTCCCATTATTTGGTATGCACTTCGTACCTTCAAAGTGCAAAGTGTTGCTGCAGGACCACCAGCCATTTGATGACCCCTTGACCCTTGCTAATGAGGAACACGAGGTGGTTGATCATTTCACTTATCTTGGCAGCTGCATCAGCAATGATGGCCGCATAGAAACTGACGTCAGAACAAGCATTGCAAAAGCCAGAGCTGTCTTCTTGAACCTCTGGCATTTGTGATGACAGAAGGGAACTTCCCTCCGTCTGAACCGCCGGGCATACAAGGCCACAGTGAGGGCCGTTCTGCTCTATGGTAGTGAAACTTGGCCCCTTCGGTCTGAAGATCTGAGGCGCCTTCAAGTCTTTGATTATCGTTCTTTGCGAAATATTGCTGGTGTCGGATGGCACCAGCGTATCCCCAACGATGATGTGCGTAGGCGAGTACTAGGTAGTGATAATCATGCTAGCACCCTAGAACAACAGATAGCACTGAATAAGTTGCGTTGGCTAGGGAACGTGCTACGCATGCCTGGTCACCGCTTACCTAGGAGGGCCTTGTTCAGTCTACCAGGTGTAGGATGGCGCAAGGCTCGAGGTGGACAGAAGTTGACTTGGCAGCGGGAAATGAAGTCACTGACGACCAAACTGTGTGCCGTTGATCCGTCTCGCCTTCCGGGCTGGAGTCCACGTGACTCGCCTTGAGCTTGGCTCGATACTTTGCAGGACATGGCTCGCAACCGACACCAGTGGCGCATCTGCTGCCGTCTCCTAATCGGATTGCCTGTTTAAAGTATGTTTGGTGCAGAGTTATTCACGAGATAATGGCTGATTATGACGCGTGGCAGTGAAATCTGCATGGAAGCTGTCTCGCCGATGCCGCCTTATCTTTACACGATAGCCAGCTGTTTGTGACGGAATGTTGTCTACACAAGGTGTATGCGCCTTGACGCAGAATGTTTGCTTAGGGCATTAAGGTTTTCAGGTAAGTCCCCCTTTCTCTCCCTATTATTATTATTTATTTCATAGGTTCTCATGGTTGTATGGCAGCGAAGCATCGGTTCGAATGGCTGATGTACTGCTGTTGATGATGATGATGGCTTCATCGTACAATGTCTCGGGCGATTGCCTCCAAAGTCGGTCTTGTGGCTTAGTTCATCAGATGATCGTATACGTGGTTGCTGGAATACTGGTATGAGCATAGCCGGTGGTAGCAGTCGGCTGAAAATTCCAAGTAACTTCAAACATTGCTGATAAGCTAGGTTCTGTTGATCCTATGAATTTTCCTTTGACGTACGTTGTAAGTCCTCTACCACCTACAAGTCGCGCTTCAACAGTAACTCTCAAGCTTGAAGGGCGTATTCAACGTAAGAAAGCACGTAGGAGTTGTACATCATCTGGATGATATGAAGTCAGCATTGTTGAATGACCTCAGCAGAAGGCTGACAGGCTGGTTGCCTCCTCTTGCAAATGCCTCAGCCAGTATTGGAAATTTGAAGCCGTTCTCCATAAACATATCAACATCGAATTCCTGGGAACTGATCTGCAGGCATTGTACCCCAACCCTATAAATGTAGGCATGGCTGTGGCTTAGTTGGACAATCCGACATTTTCCTACATTTTGTGTCAGGATATTCTGAGTCATCATCATCATCAACAGCAGTACATCAGCCATTCGAACCGATGCTTCGCTGCCATACAACCATGAGAACCTATGAAATAAATAATAATAATAGGGAGAGAAAGGGGGACTTACCTGAAAACCTTAATGCCCTAAGCAAACATTCTGCGTCAAGGCGCATACACCTTGTGTAGACAACATTCCGTCACAAACAGCTGGCTATCGTGTAAAGATAAGGCGGCATCGGCGAGACAGCTTCCATGCAGATTTCACTGCCACGCGTCATAAT